GCTATTGAGTTGTACGAGTTCCTTATATTTTGGATATTAATCCCTTATCAGATATATGACTTAGAAATATTTTCTCCCATTCCATAGGTTACCTTTTCATTTTGTTGACCATTTCTTTTGCTGTGCAGAAGTTTTTAAATTTTATGTAGTCCCACTTATTTACTTTTGTTCTTGTCGCTTGTGCTTTTGATGTCATATCCAAAAAATCACTGCCAAGATCAACGTCAAGGACTTTCTCTCTATGTTTTCTTCTAAGAGTTTTACAGTTTCGGACCTTACATCTAAGTTGTCAAGCCACTTTGAGTTAATTTTTTGAGTGGTGTAATATAAGAGTCCAATTTCATGTTCTACATGTGATTATCCAGTTTTCCCAGCACCACTTATTGAAGAGACTATCCTTTCCCCACTGATTATTCTTGGCTCCCTTGTCAAATATTAGTTGACCATATATACGACGGTTTATTTCTGGGCTCTTGATTCTGTTCCATTGGGCTATGCATCTATTTTTAGGCCAGTACCAGAATATTTTGATTACTATACATACTGTTTTGATTACTACAGCTTTGTAGTATAGTTTGAATTCAGGAAGTGTGTTGCCTCCAGCTTTGATATTCTTTCACAAGATTGCTTTGGCTATTCAAGGTCCTTTGTGGTTCCATACACATTTTAGGGTTTTTTTTTTCTATTTCTATGAAAAATGTCACTGGAATTTTGATAGGGATGGCACTGAATCTAATGATGGCTTTGGGTAGTATGGATATTTTAACAATATCAATTTATCCAATCCATGGAGATGAGATATCGCTCCACATATTTGCATTTTCTTCAATTTCTTTCACCAAAGTCTTATGGTTTTCAGCATATAGATCTTTCACCTCCTTAGTTAAATTTATTCCTAAGTATTTCATTATTTTTGATGCTATTGTAAATGGAATAGTTTTATCTCTTTGTTCAGTTATTTCATTGCTAGTGTAAGGATACAGAACTGATTTCGTTATGTTGATTTTATATCTTGCAACTTTACTGAATTCGTCGATTAGTTCTAACAGTTTTTTGGTGGAGTATTTAGGACTTCTTTTTTATGAGATCATATCTTATGCAAATAAAGACAAATTTCACTTCTTCCTTTCTGATTTGGATGCCTTTTCTTTCTTTTTCTTGCCTCATTGCTCTGGCTAAGACTCCAGAACTATGTTGAATAAGAGTAGTGAGAGAGAAGGCATGCTTGTCTTGTTCCTGATCTTAAGAGGAAAAGCTTTCAATCTTTCACTGTTGAGTATAATGTTAGCTGTGGGCTTGTCATATATGGCCTTTACTATGCTGAGGTACATTCCTTCTATACTCAATTTATTGAGAGTTTTTATCACGAAAGGACGTTGTATTTTGTCAAATGCTTTCTCTGCATCCATTGAGATGATCATATATATTTATATTTCGTTCTATTAACGTGATATATATTTACTGCTTTGCATATATTGAAAGTTTCTTGCATTCCAGGGATAAATCCCACTTGGTCATGGTATATGATCCCTTTAATGCACTGTTGAATTGAATTGAGTGTGCTAATATTTTGCTGAAAATTTTGTGCACAGACATTTACTGCATCTATATTCATCAGGGATATTGATCTGCAGGTTTCTTTTCTTGTAATGTCCTTATTTGGCTTTGATATCAGTGTAATGCAGGCCTTGTAAAATGAGTTTGGGAGTGTTCCCTCCTCTTCAATTTTTTGGAATAAAAATTATAATAAATATATAAAAAAGAATAATTGGCATTAATTTTTTTTTAGTGTTTTGTAGAACTCACCAGAGAAACCATCTGGTCCTGGGCTTTTCTTTGTTGGGAGGTTTTTGATTACTGATTCAATCTCCTTGTTACTGATCTGTTCAGATTTTTTATGTCTTCATAACTCAGTCTTGGTAGGCTGAATGTTTCTAGGAATTTATTTATTTCTTCTAGGTTATTCAATTTGTTGGTCTATAATTGCTTATAGTCTCTTAAGATCCTTTGTATTTCTGTAGTATCAGTTGTAATGTGTCCTCTTTCATTTCTAAATTTGAGACTTTTTTTTCTCAGCCTAGCTAAAGGTTTGTTAATGTTGTTTATCTTTCCAAAAACCAGCTCTTAGTTTTGTTGATCTATTGTTTTTCTAATATTGATTTCATTTATTTCTACTTTGTTATTTCCTTCCTTCTGCTGACTTTGGGCTTAGTTTGTTCATTTTCTAGTTCCTTGAGAAGTCAGGTTGTTTATTTGAGATCTTTCTTTTTTCTTAACGTAGGCATTTATTGCTCTAACTTTCACTCTTAGAACCGGTTTTGATGCATCCTATAGGAAGCATAAAACACATTACAGTACAGGCAGACCTCATTTTGTTGTGCTTCACTTCACTGTGCTTTGCAAATATTGTGTTTTTTATAAGACCCTCCACCAGCAGAAGATTACAACTCACTGAAGGCTCAGATGAGTTAGCAATTTTTAGCAATGAAGTATTTTTAAATTAAGTTATATACATTGGTTTTTTTAGACATAATGCTATTATACACTTAACAGACTATGTATAGTGTAAACATAACTTTTTCTTTTTTTTTTTTGAGGAAGATTAGCCCTGAGCTACCTGCTACCAATCCTGCTCTTTTGGTGAGGAAGACTGGCCCTGAGCTAACATACGTACCCATCTTCCTCTAGTTTATATGTGGGACGCCTACCACAGCACAGACTACCAAGCGGTCCCATGTCTGCACCTGGGATCCGAACTCACGAACCCTGGGCCGCCGAAGCAGAATGTGCACACTTAACCACTGCACCACCAGGCCAGCCCCTAAATATAACTTTTATATGCACTGAGAAATCAAAAAATTTATGTGACTCATTTTATTGCAATATTAGCTTTACTGCAGTGATCTGGAACTGAATCTGTAACATCTCGGTGGTATGCCTGTATTAGAATATTCTGAATTTGACTATATACTCAACTTTACCAGTATGCTGTACATTTTCATACATTTCATGTTACTAATTAGCATCCTTTCATTTCAGCTGAAAGAACTTTCAGCATTTCTTTTAAGGCAGGTCTAGTGGTAATGGACTCCCTCAGCTTTTGTTTGGGAAAGTCTTTATCGCTCCATTTCTGAAGGATAACTTTGCTAGATAGATTATTCTTGGTTGGCAGTTTTTTTCTTTCAGCACTTGAATATATCATCTGATTCTCTCCTGGTTTGTAAGATTTCTGCTGAGAAATTCACTGATAGACTTATGAGATTCCCTTGTAAATTACAAGATTCTTTTTTCTTGCTTTTATGATTCTGTTTGATTTCTGAACATTTTAGTATAATGTGTTTTGGAGAGGATCTCTTTAAGTTGAGTTTGTTTGATAACCTATGAGCTTCACGAACTTGGATATCCAAATCTCTCCCCAGATTTGGGAAGTTCTCAGTCATTATTTATTTAAATAAGCTTTCTGCCCCCTCCTCCCTCTGTTCTCCTTCTGGAGCTCCAATAATTTGCAAATTGTTTCTTTTGATGGCATCCCATAAATCACACAGGCTTTATTCACTCTTTCTCCATCCTTTTTTCTTTGTTCCCCTCTGACTGGATAATATCAAATTTCCAGTCTTCTAACTCACAAAATTCTTTCTTCTGCTCGATCCATTCTGCTATTGATGCTCTCTAGTGTACTTTTCACTTCATTTCTTTATTTTTTTTAAAGACTGGAACCTGAGCTAACATCTATTGCCAGTCTTTTCTTTTTTTCCCTTCTTCTTCTTCTCTTCCTCAAAGCCTCCCAGTACATATTTGCATATTCTCGTTGCAGGTCCTTCTAGTCGTGCCATGTAGGACATCACCTCAGCACAGCTTGATGAGTGGTGCGAGGTCTGTGCCCAGGATCCAAACTGGCAAAACCCTGGGCTGCCGAAATGGAGTGTGCAAACTTAACCACTCGGCCACAGCACCAGCTCCCTCACTTAATTTCTTATATTCTTTAGCCTCTGAATTTCTGTTTGGCTCTTCATAAAGTTTTCTATATCTTTGTTAAATTTCTCATTTTATTAGTGTATTATTGCTGATTTCACTGAATTGTCTTTCTGTGGTTTCTTAAAGCTCACTGAGTTTCCTTAAAATAGCTATTCTGAATTCTTTATTGGGTAAATCATAGATCTCCATGTCTTTAGGATCCATTACTGGAAGATTATTCTGATCATTTGGTGGTATCAGGTTTCCTCAATTTTTCATGTTCCTTGAAGTTTTACATTGCTGTCTTCGCATTTGAAGTAGCAGCCACGTTCTCCAGTTTTAACTAACTTCCCTCTCCAATGTATCCAAACTAATGTTTTTTCGTTCCAACAGTGTGCTAGAACCTTTCTGCTGGAAAACTGGACTTCCACAAAAGCCCTCTTGTCTATATCTAAGACGGTGTTTTTCAGGCATTCCCAGACCATAGCCAAGGAGGCTGCCACTGCAGGGTCTACAACTGGGACCAAGGTGTGTATGCCTAATACCCAATGTATGGGTGGGCAAGACTCTTCCCAAGTCCTTTGGCATATAGTGCTGGATCCCACAGATCCACAACGGCACTTTTTTCCATGGACAGATGCCAAAATGTTATTGTCGGGGTAGGGGGACACGAATAATGGACATCTTATTCAGCCATGATGCTGTCATCCAATTTTAATTAATTTAAATTTAAATAGTCACATAGAGCTAGTGACCACCATATTGTACAGTACAGTTCTAGAAGCTTTAATATATACATATTGTCATATTGGAATTCTCTTGTAAAGGTAAAATTAAAAGAAACTTGAAAATTATTGACTTTCAGGTATTAAATTAATAACACTAAATAACAGCTAAGCAAAAAAAGTAACACTTTTTGTATAAAATGTCATAGTTGTGATCCAAAAGCTTGTTTTCCTTCATAAAGCAGTTACCAGAAATACTTAAGCAAGAATTTCTCTTAACCTCTTGCGAAAGAGGCTTTCAAGACAATTACAGCAACATACCAGGGTTCCATTTATGTCCTGACTCAGGTTCTTCATCTCCCCCACAACAAAAGCAACCAGGTAAGTGCTCATCTTCACACTCTCGGAAAACTCATCCTGAACAAGTCCATCTTCCATAATGACTGATGATTTCTACAAACAAAGGGGAAAAGATACGAGTTCTGTTAACTATGGGAATAAATGACAGTGACAAATTGAGAAACTGAAAATTCAAATAGGAAATAAGTACTGAAGCTGTTGGCATATTTTAACCTGTCAGCACAAATTTCTGAACAGAGCATGGCCCTTAGTTTCAGTGTGTTCTACTATCCTTCAGCATGAGGACATACTGAGTACAGTGAAACATCCTTGAGGAATTTTTTGTCTCAAAAGATGGCTTTAAATAAATGCAAGTTAGAGACAGTAAGTAAGAGTGGTTCTGTTTCCCCCCTTTAAAACACCACCAAAAACAAAATCCTTCCTTATGATCTGGAGTGCTCCTCTCTACTACTACAAATACATTTACAGAAGAAGGATCTACAGCTAGGAAATCCCTCCAGATGATCCGAAATGGCTTTGAAAAGTACCACGTTGATGACCCCAAGAAGGCTTAGTGCGATCAAAGAGAGTAAGTCACTAGAGAAGTATGCAAGATTTTCCAACCATGAATTAAGGTATGTTTTGGGATACTAGGGAAGTAGGTATTCCACCTCTTTTACAGAAAGATTAAAGTGAAAAATTAGGCTAGGAGTGGAGCTGCTGAAGTGATGTCCCTGTTGAAGGACAGATCATGTCCTCTCCTATCTAAAAGGGTTGACTCCACAGTCTGTCAGATGTGTCTGATCCTCTTCACTAGCCACATGGGTTCCAAGAGGCTCTTATCAGGCTGCACACAACCTCTCAGCTGTCAAAAAAAGACCCCCTAAGTTCTTTTAGCATAAAAACAATTCTGCTTGGTTTCACCCTCACTGCCTCCCTTACAGAGCTACCACCCAAGAAAGAGGTTTGTGTTCTTGTTAAACCTCTATATTACAATATTGATTTTCCAATAACCAATATAACACCAAGGTTGATCATGGTTCAACACTATCAAATATCACTGCTTAGAATAGCAAATTCACCACGTCTCAGAAAAAAAATCACTGTGATCTTTAGTACTAGCTTATAGTATTAATATTTGCACAACTTTAGTAGGTAGCACATACTTCACATTCCTGCCCATACATTCCACATCCAGCAGGTCTTTCTCCTTCCTCAAGTGCTCCTCAGGCAGACTTCCCAATTGATTCCAACATATATTTTAACTTTTATTTAAGTATTTTATGAAAGAATAAGAATGAATATGATTTTAATCATTCTCAACAGTATGGTAAAGAGGAACTCAAGTATTCATAACAAAGAAAGAGACCCACTCCAAGATTTTACATTCAAGGAACAGAACAGTACCTTAGGCATATTTGATAAAGCAGTGTATTGCTCATCCCTTATGATCCTGATGATAAATGTAGCTTTAAATGCTGGTTCATCAAAACAAGGAAAAGCAGATCTTGCTGCCAGGGGTTCAAATTGAGTTGCTGCAAAGTACCTAAAATAAATGCAAATTCATCCAATAGTTATTGAGCACCTACTATTCAAGGCACCCTGCCAAGTACTAGGGATATTAAGATAAACACTGTAGAATCCCAGTCATTATAGGATCTCCAATCAACTGGGAAAGGCAGAGGTTTACACGGTGGACAGAAACTTGTGAGGCCACAAATCATAACAGTGAAAACGAAGTGTGGAAACAGAGGGCATGGAACAAATTCTGACTAGTGGCTGAAGACATTGTAAGGAAACCGGTGACAAAATCTGAAGAGGGCCTTAAAAAATGAGGAATACTTGAAAAGGTAGAGAAAGGAAGAGAGTACACTCTAGAAAGAGTGGGAAGCACAAGGACAGACAGAGCAGTGGATGTTCAGGCTCTGGGCTATCCAGGCTGTCAGGCTGTCCAATGTGGCTGGAGATGAAGCCACAACAGTAGGCTGCAGCTGGCCACTGAGGTCTGTTTCTGATGGAAGATCGGTATGAATGGCAGTCATTAATTAATTGCCTTTAATCATATGTACAGACTGATTTCACAACAATAACTCTCAAAATCACAACTTACATGAAGACTGAAAAACCTAGGGGTCACGTAGTATATGCTGGTTTCCCTTACTCTCCTCAGAAATGAATCAAAAATTTTCTTCCCCTTCCTACAGCACAGCAAAAACACTTGCGAATTTAACTCATAGAAAAGTCCTCAATTAAAGGTTGGCAGAAAAGCATAAAAAGAGGAGAAATGCAGATTTTTCAATTAAGCAGAGGAACAAAGCAGATCTGCATTTGGGAAACCATCTAAACATGGCCTTACAGTAATCAAGACAAGTGTAGCCCTGGTGTGTATATTTCAAGTACCAGTCAACATGGTACATATATAACCACCACTTTGGGCATGATAGCCTCACTTGCTTAGGGCTTAGTTTCCACTTTTAAATGATAAGTAGAAAGTGTGGGATTCAGAGTAAGAAAACCCAAACTCTGCAATTTACCAGCCAAGTTACCTCAGGGAAATCGGTGATCTACATCTCAACTTCTTTATTTGTTAAATTATGATTAAGGTAGGATCTCCTGCCAAACACCTAGGGTTTTTGTTAGAATCAAATAAGACTATTTATAATGAAACTACTTATATGCCACAAAGTCCTACGTAGATATTTATTATAAATGCTAGCTAGTCATAACTCTTCCTTCACACTTAAAATTATCATACTTTTTTCCTGGTAAGGATTTGCCCAAATAACTGTTTCTATTTGATAAACTGCAAGAAAGATAGCAATAAACATACATGAAACAATTTAAACACATTATCTTTCTAACATTCTATTTTTTCACCCCACTCTCAAATTCTTATCCAGTTAACAGAAGATTTTGGAAGAGGGCCACAAGGGACCAAGAGATAAAGTTTGATGATATCCATACTATCCATATAAGAGAGTCTATGTAGACCATTGCTTTGGATAAAAATTGGATCATAATGTTCTAAGACAAAAAAATTCTTAAATTACCGTTAAAAGACATGCAATAATAACTATCTCATGTAAAAGTCACTTGAGAAGGCTGCTGCTTGATGTTACTTACAATCTATCCTATCTATGATGAATACCTTGAAGTTTATTTAGCTGAGGGTCAGGTTAAGAGAATTCTAAGCACCAGGGATAACAATGGGCAAAGGAAAAGAAGAGTTGTGAACTAGGGAGGCAGTACATCACAGCAGTGAAGAATGTGGGCTCTGTAGTTAGAATGACCTTGGGTTTGAGTTCCCCCTCTGCTATCTGCTGGCCATAAGATGTTGGGTGAGTTACTTTATGTGCCTCTGCTTCTTCATCTGTAAAATGAGTAAAATATTAATATCCACCTCTTACTGAGTTTGACAGAATAAAAGACTAAACATAAAATACTTTGAACAGTTTCTAGCCCTTCAACTCTCAGTAAATATGGGCTATTATCATCACTGGAATTCAGGGAAGTGCACATGAAGTTTGTTATGGTAGATGAGGGCTGTGAGAAAAAACACGGCCAGATCTTGAAAGCTCTTTAAACTAAATCCTGTTGGAAATGAGGAACTGCTGAAGGATCGTAAACCAAAGACCCACATGGTCAGATTGTACTACTGCTAGAAATATGAGTCTGGCGCAGGGTAGAAGACAGGTGCAAGAATAGGGGGAAAGCTGTGATAAGAGTAGAAGCCAGGAGACCAGTTAGGAGAATGCTTCCAGAGTTCAAGAAAAAGACACTGAGAGACTGTAGGACAAAGAAAGAAAACGCATCAACACATCCTCATCCTAAATTCATTTACTAGCTCTTTTAGTATCAGTTATCTAGAACCTCAAGTCTATCATCGACAACTTGTAGATTTAACTGCAAGGTTCCTACCTCCACCTCTTACACGACAGAGGTGAAGTTCCCTTACCACAAGCAGTGTCAATACGTGTTTGATATTTACATATACTCAGGTTTTCCAATCAATAAGGAATATACCCTTAATTACTTTATCTACTTATTCAAATATTTATTCTTATCATACCTCAGTAGGGGGAGGGGTAGAAAAAACTTTAACAGAACTAAGCAAAATTAAAAGTGGAAGAAAGACAAAAAACATTGCTTTGAATTATAGTTTTCAGACATCTTGAAAGGTATAAATAATCTTCCAAAATTTTATCTTGCATCAAGATATACAACCACGTGGGACATTCATTTCTTAATTTTAAGGAGTTGTTTTTCATTTTTCGAGCATTTTCCACAACTCAATCCAGCCCATGGCAAGAGTCAACGAATGACCATTCTGCCACACAACATTTATTCCTCCCATTATATGGTGGCAGGCCCAAAGGACTCCAAGGGCAATAATTTGAATGGAAGAAGTGATTATGCAATTTGTCTTAAAGGTCTGTTTGCATACCAAGGACATTGTTTTTACATATATCATATAATTCCCAGAGATGATGGAGATATATAAGCATAAACACTTCTTCACGTCCTCTTTCTCCATCTTAATAAGGACCTCAAAGTTCCACACATTAGGAAAATAGGTCTTAGAGAACAATCCAGGGGCTGGCCTGGTGGCGCAGCAGTTAAGTGCGCACGTTCCACGTCTCAGTGGCCCGGGGTTCGCTGTTTTGGATCTCGGATGCAGACATGGCACCGCTTGGTAAAAGCCATGCTGTGGTAGGCGTCCCACGTATAAAGCAGAGGAAGATGAGCATGGATGTTAGCTCAGGGCCAGTCTTCCTCAGCAAAAAGAGGAGAAGTGGCAGTAGTTAGCTCAGGGCTAATCTTCCTCAAAAAAAAAATAAAGAAGAAGAACAATCCACATTCTTTATAGTCTGCTTCCCACAGAGCCCATGTAAGGTGATAGAAAACTAGATTCATCTTATAGTGAAAGCTCAAGATAACTTAACTTTTTGCGAAAGAGAAAGTAACTGATAATCTTTATCCATTTGCTTCATCAGTATGTCCCAACCCCCACAGTATGTGATATATATGATATATGCTTAAGGCTGTGACTAAGAGAGAAGCAGTATATTCATCCAAATCATCATTCTACTATTTTGCACATAACCTCCTAAATTTTAAAAAGTTGCAGCTAATGTCTCTAGTATGGGCAAAGGGATCCATATTGCAGAAGTTATCATAGAGCAAAGCAGCAGAATCATTTAAGAGAGTTACATACTTTTTCTCATTACTTTCATCTGTGTAGGAGATGCCATAAAATCCATAGTAAGAACTAGATATATTTGCTGAATACTCTATCTTCAAGGTATAATTGTGTCCTTCAAGAAGGGCATCGGGGGCAACAATGGCGATTTGTTCATGAAATGGATATTCCAGGACCTCAGCGTGTTTTTCTTGGCTTGAAACTGCTGACATAAAAGTCACTCTTGAAATATTATGTCCTGTGCTGTGAAGAATAATATTCCACGTGGCCTGAAGAGCCTGAAGCGAAATCGTCACAGAACCCCTGAATGTCATCGAGGTTAGGTTTGGGTGTAGGTTAAGTTCATAGCGTAGGGGCATGATGGCAGTAGGAAGCCTGATTTGTGCCCATGGAAACAACTTCCCATTTGTTGCAAGTGGCTGAATTAGTACCATTGATTGGTTTTTTTTATGGCAGCCTTCTTTGGTAAAGGTACATCTGGGCAGCAGATAAATTACCATGATTACAGCAACAGCAATCACAATGACAGAAGCACAGACTACCATGGCCCTTGCAGAGGGTAGTGAACAAGTCCCATCTGGGCTCTGCCTGTAGCCAGCTGCACTGTTCCGCAGGCCTGAGCTTCTGTTCATGAAGGACATGCCCAGCAGCTTTGCAGATGACTCATAATCCTCTTCATCCTCATCCATCTCATGCTCACCAAGACCCCGCACCAGCAGTCGTGAACCTCGGGGCTCATATTCCACTTCATCAGGCTCTAGAGGATGTAAACAAGGCTCTTTGGCTAAATCCACCACATCTGGTTCTTCCTCAAACATGCTGTTTTCAATCATATTCCTGGGGAGCTGAAGCCGATCTAAAAAACCAAAACATAAGAACAAGGCACAGAGTTAGAAAAAAAAGCTCACCATAAAATGTCTACTAGCAAGACCACATTTAGTCTAAGAATTTTTTTCATCACTAGGACTTATTTCCATCTTAGAGCTACTGAATTAAATAAGATGCTTATAATATTCTTATATCATCCACTAAAAACTCAAGCATAAATACCACAGTCGTGAAACAAAAGAGCTAAATAAATAGGCTAATATCAAAAAAAGGCAGCGGAGATTAAACACTAATTTCCTTAATACACTCCTGCCCAACAGCCTGGGCTCTTGACTAGAACTTTAATTAGAGGGCCCTGCTTTGGCCTGCCTCTGGCTGTGCCTATCCCCACAGCGTGAGGAGTAAATAAGATCAAAGAGATGTGCCCACCCACAGTCCATTTCCCTCTTCTGGGGTCTGGGCACCAGCAACCCAGAATTTCTGCGTAAAAGGCCTCAAACCTGCTTTCAGGGCCTTTGCAGGTCTCTTTTCTGAGGCCCATTTCTCTCCATGAAGGACCCCAAACTGTTATGCCCATTTACGGGCTTGAAGGATGGATAAGCAACAGGCTAGGTTATTTTCCCCCCTGGAACAGGGATGTTGCTATTTCACAGCAAACTGAAAGTGGGAAATTATTTAGGAAATTTCCATAATCAAGAAATGATAAAAAATAAGACCAAAGAACTAGAAAAATCAGATGAAACTATAATCCAACCTGTTTTTTCATGCCTCCAGAGCATTCAGAAGTACAATCTATTCTCCCCTGTAACAACTGTATCACACACCAGGAGTGGAAGCGGATCTTGAGGAAGGGTAGTCATGGGAACTTTTATAAACTACAAAGAACCATACTCTCCAACTTACCAAGAACCACTGAGAAAAAAGACTCAAAAAGCAGAAGGATAAATAATCGCACACAGATCAACAATTCCTAGGATTAGATCACTCAATGTTCTTTATTTAAGAATCACAGAATTTTAGCTTTTAAAGGATCTCAAAAGTTTGATAATTGAAACCCTCATTAATCTTTCCCTACAAGGTACTTTATATGGATCATTTTTAAATCTCACAACAATTCTGTAAAATGGCAAGTATTATAACTATTTCAAACACAAGAAAACAAAAAAAACAGAAACAGACGTTAATTTATCTTCATAAAGTCAGAGTTATTTAGTCACAAAATATTAGAACCTAGGTCTAAAAATCTGGTTCGAAATTTTAGACTCTTTCCATTATTATACTGCATCCCCCACTCAACTAATTTAATAAAGGATGAGAGCTTATGCTTATTTATTTCTTTTGTACCTGGCAATGAAGTTGCTAAGAGTACAATTACAGTATTAGCAGAGCAAAACCTACACAAAATTAATATCTAGCTTAACAGAAATGCTATGTATTTCATGCTTTTCAACAAATACTAACTAAACAGTGGCAACTCATAATCCACCAAAGTACTGACAAATATTAGGATAATATTTACAGGCTTGCTACTCAGAGCGGTCTGCAGACCACAGCTTTTGAACACAATGCAGCTTTTTAGAAAAGCAGACTCTCAAGTCCCTTCCCTGAATTTGAATTTTAACAAATCCTCAGGTGATTTATGTGCACGTAAGTTTGAGAAGCACTGGTCTAAGCCTTCTCCATGGTCAGATCCCAGCCAGCTCTAGACACTCCATTCCTGGGTGTGCTCTGGCCACGCCATACTGCTTACTATTCTGAGAACAAGCCAGGCTGCTATGCCATGCTATTCTCCACACGCCTATTTTCCTCTCTGTTCCCTTTGCCTGTAAAGTCATCATTTCTTCCTTCCATCCCAGTCCACCTGGCGAACACCTGTTATTCTATAATTCAGCTTAACTTGGCACAGTGTAAACTAAGAAAAGTTATTTCATTTTCGTTTTTCTTTTTTTCATTATTACCTTTTAAAAATAAATTTTCTTTTCACTTCATCTCACTCCTTTCTGCTTTGGGGATCATAGAGACCCCAATGAGGCTGCCTTTTCCTACCCCCTCTCCATCCCAAACTTCATAAAAGCTATGCTAATTTAAAAGTTTACTTTGATAAAACTTTTAATCACTTTCTGGTGTGGGTTTAGCAAGCTGCCATCTATGTATCTCCTGTGAATTATCAGGAAACAGAAGAAGGGTGATAGTTACAATATGCTACTTTAGGAACTTAATCTCCTAAACTTCCTATAGTGCCCCAACTTCTTGTGATAAAGTTTTGTTTTGTTTTGATAGTTAACTGTGTTTGAGGGTCATTTACTTCATTAACAGAACAAATAATGCCGTAATTGAACTTAAAAAAGTTTTTTAACTCTTACGAACTCTTAATGGTTAGAAATTTTCAGTGGTAGTTTTATAGTACTTGGCATAGTGCTGCAGATTAGTTGCTTAATTTGCTTTTTCATTTTAAAATGTCTAAAGGTCTTCTCTGGTTTTTTTTTTTTTTTTTTTTTTACCTCATATGGGACCATTATGTTCTCTTAGACATTTGTCCATGTGTTTTGTGCTGCATCAGACCTGATGTAGACAACAATGGTACCTGGGCCGTAGGGTTTCATTTAATAAATTTCTAAACTAACTCTAAGTATAATCTCAGTTTAATAATTAAAGCATTCCCATTCCTGAATTCTACTTCCTTAGAAGTTCGTTTTTTTGCTTTTTGATTCTTCAGTAATGCCTCTTTAAAGCCAAGGGGTACTCTACAGTCTGACCATTTTAGCATCTTCTGTCTGCACTTTATTAATTTCAAATATTTTAACAAAGGCTTAGTCAGATGTCTGCCAAAATCCAAATAACTTACTTTATTATTTATCATCCAGTCAGATGTAGAATTTTAATTTTTTAGATATGGAACACATCGACCCATCTGTTGAATTTTACTGTACAACAGAAGCAAACTTTTGTTATGTGTGTATAATCATATCAAGTTAAATATAACAAACCAGGGGAAACCACTTTTATTACAGGTAGCCCAAGGAAGATTGTACTTCAAGCCTATTTAAGAAAATTTTGCATTGAATTTGTAATTCAGTATACTTTGATCTTAGCATTAAATTGTACTGTAATACATGACTAGCTCTTGCTTTACTGGGATTTATTCATACTGAAACAAGAGATCCTAAAGAAACAGGAAATTTTCTAAAACCTCTTAAATCCACATAAACAAGCTATCTATAAGCCAAAAGCAAAGAATATCCTAGTTGAAATGTTTCAGTTTTAAGTAACATAGGCCCATGTGGTTATAATCTAAGAAAACTGAAGACATTTCTCTTCATCAGATACTGCAAACTGGTGCTCCTTGATGTTGTCTGTGGACTAGTGCCAATCAGCAAACTGTTTGTAACCTGTCTGTGAGAGGATGCATGTAGAAAATTACTATTTAAAAACTTTTATAGCAATTTGACAGTAATTTCACGTCTATCAAATTTTATAATTTTAAAAATGGAGCTTATTTTTTGCATGTCTTTTTCCATTTCAGTTTTCCAATGACTCTTTTTTATATGTTAGAAAATTTCTGCAATAGATTAAAAATTTAAAAAACAAAAAAAGCTTGATTCTTTTGCTGAGATAATATGAGAAGCAATAGGTTGGATTGCCACAATAATGGCAATCAAGGTTGATATAAAGTTCTCAACTATGACAGTAGCAGTGGGAAATGAAAAGGAGGGAATGATTACAAGTCACATTAAAGAGGGAGAATACAAAGGAACTGATGCTCCCTTGGGTCAGATGGCCCTATAGGTTGAAAAGAGAGAGAAGTCTATGTCAATTCCCTATATATATTCTGGCTTGGGTAACTGGAAGAAGGAATGCCATTCACTGAGACTTAGAGTACAGGTTCAAATCCTGGCTTTTCCACTGACTTGACCTCAAACAGATTACCAAACATCCCTTAGCTTCAATTTCCTCAACTATAAATGTGCAAAACATCACTGTTTTGTAGTGTGGGTATAAGCATTGCTGTGTGGGTCTAGACTCAAAAGAGGGATCAGGGTGGAAGATTCAGATTTCAGAATCAACTGGGTATACATGATAATTAAAATCATGCAGATGGGTGAGTCTACTGAAAGGGAGATAAGAGTCAGAGAGCATCAGCATTTAAGAGGTAGGAAGAGGGACAACAAAGGAGAATAAAAAGGAATGTACTAGACATGAGAAAATCAGGACAGCAGCATCTCAGAAGGCAAGGAAGGGTTTCACAAAGAAACAAGTGGTCAGCATTACATGTCTTAGAAAGGTCAAGTAAAACGAGGCCTAGAGAAGCCACTAGATTTGGCAACCAGGGAACCAGTGACTTTTATGAGGTGCTTTCAGTGGAGTAGTGAGAACAGAAAGTGGCCCAAAGAAAGAATGGAAAATTAGCAATGGAAGGCAAGGGCTGCAGACTATTCTTTCAAGGTACAAAGTTGTGTATCAAGAAAAAAACATAGGGTCAAACTAAAAGAAAATACAGTCATGTGCCGTACGATGTTGTTTCAGTCAACAACGGACTGCATATACTACAGTGGTCCCATAAGATTAGTACCATATAGCCTACATGATAGTAGGCTACACCATCAGGGTTTGTGTAAGTACTGTAGAGGAGGAAGAAATTCTCCTCTGCCCTTCTAGGTTCTTCTGGCTGGTCTAAGAATTAAATTAGCATGAAACAGAATAACAGGAGAAAAACGCAAGTTTAATAACATGTATATATGGGAGAAACCCAGGAAAACCAAGTAACTCACCAAAATGGCTAAAGCCCTAAACTTTTAAGTTTACCATCCTCAGCCAAAGACAAAAGATGTTGGAGGTGGGGAGAGTCAGGGACTTCAAAGGAAAGGAAGGCAATTCACAGGTAGGTGAAAAGGAGCAAACGTTTGGAAAACAAGTGTTTGGCCACACAGAAACAGAAGAAGACAGATAGGAGCCCAACAAAGAGGCTTTTCCAGGTTCCTCCCTATCCACTACCTATGTCATGTTATGCTAGGGTGATAGGCTCACTTC